AAAAAATGTATCCTTACATCGACAAAGGCATGCACGAACACTTAGCTAAACGGTTTAAAGACCCTAATGCAGCATATAGTTTTGTTCTGGAACTTTTTATTCCGTAGTCGTATTGTATTCATATGATTTGAATATTGACACTAATTCTTTTTTTTTTTAAATCCACCATAAATATATTGAAACAACGTTTATTCCGTAGTCGTATTGTATTCATGTGATTTGAATATTGACAGATTTCTTTTTTTTTAATCCACCATAAATATATTGAAACAACGTAATTGTACAATTAATAAATTTAATGAAAATATTTGAGAAAAGATATAGCTTTATATTTTCATAAATCACTGTAAATATTTTTCTCACACAAGTTTGTTTACCATGTTTCGATGTTTTCTTGTAGAGTAATAATATTGGAACCATCCCTGACAATATTGATGTTGACCCGATACGGGGGACCTTTGGATAGGATCCCATCCGATAGGATGGAAAACTATTGACACATATTTTGGATCTATACCTCCTTGTCAAGTAAGCCAACATTTCTTGTCATCTCGAGCATCTCTTTCGAGCATCTATTTTTGCCAATTTGTTTCTATCCATTTACTTGTTTTTCATTCAACGCTTTAGAAAATTGGAAAGACATTGTCTTTAGAATTGCATTTTATTTACATTGTATACATAAGTTATATAGCTTTTAACATCGGCTTCAAATTTGACTATTTGCTTCATAAAAAACAATGGCAATTTCATATGTCATCCAATGTTGATATAATTCTTAATTACGACATAAACAGGTCTTGATAACAGATGAACATCTTTAAAACTCTGGGTCAAACGGTTCTACATCAAACAGATGAGTTCATTAAAAAAAAAAACGTTTACACTTGAAGTATCTACTGACTCAAAAAAAGTTTAAATAAAATTGCCTAGTTGATATATTTGTATCAACAATGTAGATAAAATCTATATTGTTCTGCTTTGCTTCTTTATTTGTAGATTATCTTATTGACTGCCTGTATTAAAGATAAAGTCGCTGGAATACAATATGTAATTAACAATTAAACAGACCCTGTTAATAAAACCTTTCCTTTAAATATTCCTATTTCTGATTATATTTAGGTTCTTCGTTTGAAGATGCATGAGAATACGATTTCGGAAATAGAGATGATTTACCAAAACGACGGAACTGAATGTTCGTCTTCCACTGTTGCCTCATACACTGCTGGAAAAATGATCATCGGAACTGTTCATGCACAGTCCCTCGTCTGTGACGTGGGATATCTGTCAAAAAACTAAAAGCTAAATGCAAATAAGCTTTACAATATCGCAACTGGTATCTTGCAATTAACAATTCCATCCATGGACAGGCTCAATCAAACCGAACCTCCAACATTTTCAATTTTGTCGTTTTTGGACTTCTTTTAGAGATTCTGTGTTTTTATTTATTTTATATTATTGATGATTTTGGCATGTACCTGCTTTTACGCAAACAAATACTTTCTTTATTATAGATTTTGAGATTGAAATTTTTTTTTACAATATCTGGCCAGGTTTTTATAAAAGTGGTATCAGTTAAATTTTCCTCTCATCTTTTGTGAACATACGTAGAGAAGACAAAGTCAATTTGTTGTCCATAATGTAATTTAAAGAGTTACAGACACAAGTTTACGTACTTTAGTCTCGTTGCTTTAATTTTTGTTTGGGGTCCGCCTGCGCTGCTTGCCACTGGTTCATGTTGCTGGGTCATATGGGGGTTGCGTTCATTGAACGCCGCCTTTCCTTGTTGATCTTGTTTATCATATTTTCTACATTTGTTTTATCATCCGGACAATGATGAATGTTGATAAACAAGTAATGTAATTGTATTTATACAGACAATTTTATAAAGATATTTTTATAGTGTTAACTTACTCGACAGTTTCATTTACATTTCTTTAATTTTTATCATTGGTGATTAAAAATTGTAGTTTCTTTGATATTAGTATAGATTTTACGATTTTTACTTTGAAATTTGCATGTTCTCTTGAAAAAAAATCGTCAGATGAAGTATTATTTTATATACTCGTAACACTGGCTAAATGTATATCCATGATCTAAGAAATACAGAAGAATTTTTAATGATTTTGGAATGTCAAATTCAACATGTATTGAACAAAACTGCATATCATAGAAGTCATATGTCTATATTTAACCTCAGTATACGCATTTCATTGTCAACATGTTGTGTTTTCATGTTGAAAAATACATGTAAAATAAAAAGAATTAATAAAAATAACTTTTAAGGTTTATTTATAATTCTTATATACGAATTCGCAAACATAACATGGTGACAGTTGACACTATTTATCAGATATAATTATGGTGGCTGATTTTTGCCATTTCTTAATTTTGTTATTTTATCGCGGTTGAAAGGACGACACGAATAGTTTTAGAATGAGAAATATATATTTTCTATTTTGCTGTGCTCTTTTCGGCTTGCAGCCACGGCTGCAAACCATTTATTTTGGAAAAGTTGTTCCGGATAGGTGGTTTCCTGCTTACATTTGTTAGTGCATGATTGAACGTTAACCCGGTCTATGTTTCCGCTGCAATCGTGTCAATCGCATTTATTTAAACGCAATTCAACGTCTTGGTGAGGTAATCTAAAAATAGCCCTTGCCTATCATTAACCTTACCACGTGCTGATCTACTGTAACAGATAGCGAATCCTGTGTTGTCCATGTAGATATTTTAGGTGTAACATAGTTGATACATGCTTATTAATTGGTACCACGTAACGAAGTCTTTTAGTGCATTTACTTGTCTATAAAGCTGCTATATAAATGAAATTAGCAACTGCCAAAACGAATGACTCTCTCTGCGAAAAAAATGGAAATGAAATGTGCACACTTGTTTCCCTTCAGTATGATAGATAGATCTCCACGTGGGAGAGCCAATGTTAGTATTTTTACGATTGATTATTTTCTTTATTAGTTTTATACAATAGAGAAGATTTCAAATCGTTTTTGACAAAAAAATATTCGTTTTTACAAAATAAACTAAATAAACCCTTTATGATATACAAATACCGTAATTAAAAAAAATGTGATAATAAATTGAAACAAAAAAAAACAATTATAAAGTTTGGATGATGGCACAACTGAGCAAGCCTTTCCTTTTAAAAGGAAATTTTATTTAGTTTTGTCGTTATAACGTGTAAGTTGCTTTCAATCGCGACAACATAAAATAAGAAAAGAATAAGAGGGCGGATACGATATTTTCATGCGGCAACGCGACGTTAATATTTTTGTCGCCTTATATTTGGCGTATTATCGCCTTAAATTGGCGTTTTATTAAACTGTAATCTGTGCTTCCTACCGATACGACAACACGGCCCCTCAGGCACGGCAAAACGAAATCGAGAATTAGCAGTAAAAAACCGCCATGCATGTGCAAATTGGTAATAGTTCAGGTTCTTGCCAACCCGAGTCTTCAATTGTATATTGCTTCCTCATGTAAAATATTGTAGTAACAGTAATAGATTATAACTTTAGTTGCTCTGCTTGATATGGAATATTTACATTCTGCTTGTCAAAACTTAAACACTATTCTTATAAAAAAGAAGTCCTAAAAGGTGAACGTATTTTCATTTTATTATATCAAATGTAGAGCAGATGGTGCTTTAATATTGCATTAAAATTTGAATTCAATCAAATTTTAAAATGATTTCGTTTTCTTAATATATATATATATATATTATCTATTGATATTATTATACTCTTCGCCAATTTTTAAAATATAAAACTCTTGTTGTTGATTGTTCTGTTGTTTAATTCAAAGCCTTCAGTAACTGCAAAAACACACCTGTATTAAATGGCTATCTATTTCGTGATTTTCTCCCACTTGTGGTTGAGGGGTTGTCTTAAAAGGTCGAGACATTAAAATTGCAGCCATCGTTTATCCCTGCATGATCATAAGCGGCGACTAAATAGGTTCGAATAACTGGGGTCTATGTATCTCTTAGCTCAAGTAGGTGAGGTGGTTTCAAACACTGGTGTTGGTGGTTGCTGTTAATGTAATATAATATTTTAGGTATCCTTATTGCAGCCACCTTTTTCTCTGCGTGATCGTAAGAGACGGTTAACTTGGTAATTCAAATTAAATTATTATTTCGAATTAGTGGAGTCTCTATGCATGTCTTTGCTCCAGCTGGCGAGGCGGTTTTGATCCAGGTGTGTTTCTTTAAAATTTATAACACCAAAATCGTTTTGCCTAAAATAATGACCTGTACTGTATTTGTGAGCCGTAAAACTAAACAGTCAAAATATAAGACAGCGTATCATCCTTGGTACTTTCAAGTACTTTCAAATTAGTCAGATGAGTTTAAATATATTTCATTTTTGTCATAGGCATTTTGCAAGGTTTTTGGCGTATCTTCAGTTTTTATCAAAATACTCGAGTTTCCAAATAAATGTAGTCAGTACTTAATTCCTACAAAAAAATTGAAGACACTGGCTGTCATATTTTTCTTTTTTATTCTTGTTGATGTATTCCCATCAAATTTAGTAAACTGTGGTCCTACTTTACAGCAAACCTGATTTAAATTTTGTTGCAAAACAAAAACAAATAAAACAATATAAGAAAAAAGCTTTTTCAATTTCAATGAATTTTTCAAATACCTACCATATGAATATTTTTCTTGTTAAAAATGATCACAAAAACTGCTTAATTTATGAATGACAAAACAGGTATTGAAATTATCATCCCTGATGCTCAATCGATAAAAAAAATACAAATATGTATATATTGAACAATTTATCTAAGCTAGTCATGCATTGGAAAAATAGCACAGAAACACAGAACCATACTCAATGATATGAAAGCAACGTTTTTGTTAATTTCCAATAGAAAACGAAACAGTTACTGTGTTTCCTATGTATTTCCATGTTTCTTTCTGTATAAAACACAAACATAAGATCAATATATTATTAATTGTCTTTAGATCAAATGATTAATGTCTATTAATTTGAAGGAAGTGAAGGAGACAGATAGTTCACCTCGCAAACGACAGTCTCAGTAGTGAGAGATCCAATCACTAGTTTGCCTTTAACATATGTTGCCGCCGTTGAACCATGTAATTCTGATCCATCGTCCGCATATATCTCCTCTACTGAGGACACCATGTTGTCTTCCATTTTGAAACGCAATACCTGAAGCAACATGTATATATTAAAATGCGAAAACAACACAATGTCGAAAAAACTTAAGCTGGTGGGTTTTAAAATGGAAAGCAGAAAGACACAAAACACCACACTTTTTAATATGATGGCTAATTAAGTTGTTAATTGTTAACTGCGGTATACTATTTATGTAAAGTTTTCTCTTTAGCACATACCAGTTATTTTGGTATTTCGAAAAGGGACAATAACCTTCATTGACATTCTTTATCAGCGTTTTCGTTTCCTAGTGAAAGAAGTTTAGCTGTCACTACATAAACAGACTTCTACAACGTTTCCAATTTCAATTTTGCCATTTTGCATTTTGCCACATAACCAAGGTGCATCAACCTTAACAAATAGTTTATTAGGATAGTGACTGTCCAGAAAGGAAAATATTTTAGAATCTTTGATATATATTAAAATGTCCTTAAAATGATGAGTAAGTTCACTCTTGGTCTAACATGCGTGTATTCATGAAACGAATACCTGGGAAGGCAGCGTCAGTCCAAATCCACTGGTCATCCAATCCAAAATCCTTAACGCTATTGGATGACACCCGATCCATAAATCACCTGTTTCTTGATCTACCTCAATGTTGTCAACCATTGTATCTACATCAAACGACTAAAAAACAAGTTGTATCAACCTGTCATTCTATTAAATCCAACTTAAAGAGGACTTTTTTACAAATGATTTCATGTTAAACTAATATCTTATCACAAGTAAAACTAATATCTTATCAAAAACTCAAAAGAACAAATTAAATAACACTAAGTTCTTATCCAAAATATTTTAAATAGAACACAATATACAATAACTTGACATTAGAGAGAACACAATTGTAGCAGGGAATTACACTTAACTATTATCGTTTGAAAATGTGATGAAGAAAGCATATCTTATCAAATAAAGCAAAAATACAGCCCCTAAAATGCACTAATTAATAAGCATTTTATGTAATAGAAAATAAAAGAAGAATCATATTTGGCTCTCTAAACATGGACACATGTAGCGTCATTTTCTAAGGTAAAAATAACTTGGAAATTGCATTTTATTAAGGAAGTCTTGATTTTGTGATTTGAAATGAGCGTTGATTTTTAGAACTCACAGCTTTACTATAACGCAAAATAAACAAAACGCACGGGTTTAACCAATGAGGAAAGCAGCTCTGTGAGCCCTACTCTGCCGTGTATTTACCTCTTATTTATCATGCCATATACAAATGCATAGCACGTCTTGTACCAGAGAGGCATTCAAAAATAACAACGCAAAAATTCTTATACGATGATTCTAGTAAATCTGATTCATTTTTATATTATATCTTTCGAAGTCAGTAAGACACTTCGGTAACTTACAATTATTTGCATCAGCTTGATAAACCATTAAATACTGTTCAGCAAATAGCAAGTAATTTCCCGATATCTGCAGTAATTTCAAGATGTTTGAGTTATAGAAAATATTGAATGAGAGAAAGTTCAATACTGAATTCATTGAAAAAAAAATAATTATGCGTGTCTTCCGAATTCAATAAATTCAGTAATGAACCACATATATATAATAGAAAATATTCTTATTTTTCAAATATCCCAAATAAAGGCTGTTTGAAGTGAAAAAGAATCAATTTTCGTAAACGCGCCTATAGTGAAAGTCTAACATTAAGAGCTTCTTTACATTATGTTTGTATAAAGCAAATGACTTTACGCCAAAAGATATGCACGTCCATGCAATAAATTTTTTACGGAGTTGAAAAAGCGGCACATGTGTATGATTAAATTTATCCTTTGTAAGGCGGAATTATTTGGCAGTGATACATGTAGTTAAGTTAATAAACAATGCTGTCTTGATTTAAGTTTAAAATCAGTACCCAAGCTTTTGTCAGGAGATTGTCCTCAGATCTGTGATAACCAAGTAGCTTCTTCGTTCCAAACTCTGACACATAGATCATCCTGAAGTTTAAATATGTTTTAATACATACATGCAGCATATCTGTTCAGTGATCAATTCAGCATAGAATATACAACAGAGCATCGCCTTTTTAATAATCATTTCTCATGGATTTTGCGTTTGATTCGACAATGTCACAATTTAAATTATCAAAATGTTATTTGTTAATATCAATCACGTGTCTTATCTAAGTAAATCTGCGTTAATGTGTATTCGTCGGGTGATCTTTAACGAGCTCTGTAAGTGTTTTCCACAATGCAACGATTGTTCCCGAACAAAAGTTATAGTCCGATTTATTTGTCACTATAATTAGTATACAGTCACGTCCAGCTATGCGGTTAAAATCATGTATTTGTTATAGAGCACTGAAAATGGCAAGTGTAGAAAGGTATTCATCAAAAGAATAATTGATAAATGGTATAAATTATAAATAAAACGATATTATGACCCCCCCCCCCAAAAAAAAAACAAAAAAAAAACAAAAAACAAAAAAAAACAAAAAAACTAACAAAGTAAAATCAACAATAAAAAACAATACACAAAAACAACAATAAACAATTCAGTTTATGTCATATCGATCCATATTTTTTCATGCTTTATAAGAAAACTTACTTTTGGTCAGGTGAAATGTTGATTCCGTTTGGCATTGAAAGGCCAGTTGGTACAACAGGTCTTACTTTTTTGCCATCAAAGTAAAGTAAAGCTCCCCATGCCCTTTGCGTCAACATTTCCAACATATTTAGTGGTTTGTCCCGATAATGGTTAAACTTTGTGATGAAGAGTTTGTCTCGTCCGACTGCGACCAGGTCATTCATACTGAGAAACATTCAATCACTTTTCAATCCAATTTCACAATATTTGAAAACTGTACTGACGACCGACCCAATGTTACATTACATTTTTCAAAATTATCTAAATGTACCATATTTTACACAAAGATGCCTTACACGCTTATTTTGAATCTGATCTCTTATGAGCAGATAAATTTACTAGATGGCACAATTATCTAAGTTGCATATATATTCACACAGTGGCATTGACTTGTAAAACAAATGAGAATTTGGGGCAATGTGAAGTCAAAGAGTATTGAGATGTGCTGACAAAACACACACTCCTAATATATTTTGAAATATTTCCAGTACAAAACAACAGCAACAACAACAACAACAAACATTCAAATTAACAAGAACAGTGAGAAAATACCTCTTCCTTTACATTTTGCTACCTTTGTTAAAATTATTTCACATTTGACGCTATTTATTTTAGGTGATAAGTATCTAAGATATCTAAATCTATCATTACAGTATAATTACACATGTTTGCCCTACTTTTCATAGAGAAAATTTATTAACGAAATTCTTAGCCAAGCCGAATTAAAATAAAAGTGTTCATATCCGCTCTTTGATACTCCGTATTCAAAGTTTGCAGTAAATGTTACTAACAATCAGGTAAATACATACTTTACCATGAGTGGATCGGTTATGGTCCGTTTATATTTTAAAATGTCATTCTCTTTCAGTTTGAAAACTTCTATCCTGTCCTCTGATAGCGGATGTGTTATAACGTATAAATACATCTCCCCTGTAGTAAAAAATCATTTAAAACCCTTCAGTGACAATGTGCTTAGAATTCCTTGATAAAACAAATCAAAACCTCCTGCGATAAAGAATACGTTTGTATATATTAGAAATAAATTGTTCTGCATGTCACATAAGCATTTGAAAATCCGTACAGTTTGAATGTGAGCTCTATCAAGCCAAATAATCATATTTTAATCATGACCATCTTTCATTAAAACATTTATCAGGAAATATGATAACAGCATATTTATCAAATGTTCAAGTACCAAACTGTAAATTAAGATGCAGTAGTTGAATGATAATGGGGAGACTGTCAATTCATGAGTAAATGATAGACAAAATGGCAACACGCAAATGCATTGTTTAGATATCCAACAAATGTGAAACAAAAGAAGAAAAATAAACAATTTTATACCTGGTTGTTAGTCTTGATTGATGTTTACCTGAATACTTATAACGGTTATACATGTATATGGATCGTTACATATATACATATACATCATATACATACATATTATACAGATTGTTTTAGACACAATGCCATATAATACCGGAAATGATATACATGTATCATTTATTTGCGCACCTCCTCAAATTTAAGACACACAAACAAATGATAAAAAGAAATAAAACAATGAATAGTTAAAAATGAATATATAACATATATCTCTTAAAAATCAGTTACATATATATAAAAACAATGAGCCACTTTCATTTGATACATGTGTGTATGATAAAAGAATTTTGTTTACATATCTAGCAGTGTAAAATACCAGAAAACACCTTTACTTTTCATAGACAAATTTACTACACACCTCTTTCATCTTTCCAGGTAGATATTCCGTGCGGCTTTGTCATGAAATCTTTTCTGTCGGGTGCTCCACGTATTGTCATGTTAACAACTTGGCTTGTGTTAAGATCAAGCGCTTTAATTACGCCTTCACCTTCACCTGCTCCAATACCCTTTGTCATAAAATATATTTATATAAAAATGGTTTGCAATGCCTAGATACAAAAGGTAAATGTGGTAACAAAAGAAGGAAGGCGTATCAATATTAAATTGTAGCACGGAAAGCAATCATATACCAGTCAAAATAATTGAATTGTCACACTGAAAGGGGTCATATACAAGTCAAAATGATTAAATTGTAGCACATACAAGTCAAACTATTTTAATTGTAACACGGAAAGGGATCATATACAAGTCAAAATAATTAGATTGTAGCACGGATAACAGTCGTATACAAGTCAAAGTAATTGAATCGTCACACGGAAAGGATCATATACAAGCCAAAATAATTAAATTTTAGCACGGAAAGGTAACATATACAAGTCAGAATAATTGAAAAGTCATACAGAAACGGATCATATACAAGCAAAAATAACTGAACTGTCACACGGAAAGCAATCATATACAAGTCAAAATTTTTGAATTGCCATACGGAACGGGATCTTATACAAGTCAAAATAATTAAATTGTAGCACGGAAAGCAATCAATACAAGTAAAAATGATTAAATGTAAACGAAAAGCGGTCAGGTCATATAAATGTTGAAATCATTAAACTATAGCACGAAAAACAGTCACATACAAAGCAAAATGATTAAATTGTTGCACAGAAAGCGATCATATACAAATGAATGTAATTGTAGCACGGAAAGAAATCATATACAAGGCAAAATGTCTAAATTGTAGCACACAAAGCGATCTTATACAAGTCAAAATTGATAAATTGGTCTTTTTAAATATACAAATATATTTTAAAATATGAACTTACTGATGACATTATAACTATATCATTGCCAACATAAGTGACATCTTCTGAACCTCCTTCTGAAATATGATAGTAACATGGAGGTTTAATGGATCGAATATGCAAGATTTGGGGACGTCTATTTCTTTATGTTATTTTGAAAATTATATGCAAAATTATCTTAAATTGACCCATGAACGCTACAAACAATACAAGATACATGCATGTTAAGGCAACATGGCCATTGAGTTATACAGAATTTATTTCTGTTCTATTGTGTAGAAGGCTATTAGCTCATTGAACTACTTTTGAATTCGTTTCTTGAACCAAAAGTACTGAGAAATGAGTGTAAAATTTTTCTTGCTCACGAGAACAACGACTTGACGGGGTTATAATAATTATGCGACAAATATAATTATAACACTTTTATTTTACCAATAAGAGAAATATACAAACTTTTATATTGTTTTGTAACGGACTCACCTGTTAAGATTTGTTTACATGGACCGGGTGCGACTCTGTAATTAAACTTCTTGTTCCAGTCAATCCAATCCCTTAAAAAATATGAAGAGTGTGTTTAATTTAGAAAGTTGAAAAAAATTTTGTTCCGTCTCGTGAGAAAACCAACATAGTGCAAAAATTTCAAAAGTTTTCACTTTTTGCAATTTTATGTCCAACTTACTATGGTACAATTTTTATACCTATTTGGTTTCTAAAGGTTGTTTAAATATTAGTTCAAAGGTATAAACGACTTTTTGACGTCATGATTCCATAAGTAGAATGTTATGTAAAAATAAGGAGTAAGGATCTGAAGTACTATAAACACTGCAACACTACGCTTATCATAAGTTGTATACGTCTATCTTTCGCATTTTTATGAAAAAGAAATTGTGCACTTTTAAGCGTAAAAAATTAAAAACCGCTCAAGCCCGTGCTAGTGGGCGTGAGGAATATTGCATTTTTATCCCTTTTCAAACCGAGTCTGCAATGGTCATTTAATTTTGTAGTGATTAATGCTTCTGAGGGATCACTTTTGTCTAGATTCTGTATTTTTCTTTCATCTAAAAAAACATTTTTATTTTGTTAACTTAAAATGCTCTTTTACATTTTGCGGGTGGAATTTAGCGTTCTGCATATATTGAACATACATGTATGACCCAATGTATTTTTGTAGATAAAAGTCTATCGCCCGGGTAAGGGAAGATTTCAAAGCAAGTTATTGGATCTCTCTCATAGCCTTGTCTTGTATTTTGTTATTTTCTTTACTTTTTATTACATATTCTGGCTGTTTAAGTGTTACATTCTGCACTATAAAACGACAACAGACATTTTACGCTACGATATTCCTGTGACAAAAGAAATAATATTCCGCGTACGAGTTCAATGTCAAAAGTGCCAAAATGTTATAGTTGTAACAAAAATATTAGTAAGTAAATAAAAAAAATTACATTTTATGATTGGTAAACAATTATTTTGAATTAAGTATAGATTAGTGTTTAAAAATATGTAGTCTATGCATATTATTAAACATTAACCTATTTAATGAAGTATCGAGAAGTTGGCACTGACATCGAAGATTTAATGATCAACATTATTTTTCAACCAAAAACAAGGCATTTCACTAAATCACAGATAGCTCCGCCCTTTCGCTCTACAAGATGTCTACATCTTGTCAAGTTTCTAACATATCACATTTAAAAAAGCTAAATAAATGGCCCTATCAACAAATAATCAGGCACATTTTTTACTGAAATGTCACAGAATTAATATCTTTATCTTCAGTAAGACTATCATGCTGAAAAAAAAAACAGCCAGGAAAATGATGCAAATAGGTAAAAACAATGGAGTTAATGAAATGTGTCCATCCTTTATAAATAAATGGAAAATGTTTACTAACATTTAGAATCCCTATTGATTTGCTCATTTGAAAAACAGTTTTTCTGTGTGTCAATCTAGATGAACAGGTGGAGGGGGTCAATTTACAAGCCAAAAATGTATTATCATTGTATTCTTAATATCAAGGATTGTTAGTGCAGTTCATTCCTATAAACTGAAAGAAAATTATGTTTTTGTTACTTTTTCTAGAAAAAAAAGAAGTTTAAAACAATTAATAACAGACATTTTTCTTAGAGTTAAAAGGATATAAAAAAAGTTACTATGTAATCATTTGTCTCTGCATGCTCCACATGTATTATCTATGTAACAAGTTAATTGATTGTATCCTCACATTTAGAAACACCTGACCTCGCTTAATTGTTTTTTACGTTGGCATTGTTTTGCTAACCTAGATATTTTACAATTCAGAGTGCAAACCATACCTCTAACTCCTCCCTAATATAATGCATTATTGAAATTTGTTAGACTCAGGTTAGACGACAGATTAAGTGAATTTTATTTAGTTAGTGCACATTAACCAAAGTTAGACTTAGCAGAAATTTGAAAAATACTACAATGTGATTGGACAAAAAATAATGTTGATCGTTAATTGAGGGGAAATGTTATAGTTTAAAAGCAAATTTCTTTTTAAACTGTGCGATGTAAACGATAAGAAACGTGCACTTTATGAAAATTTATGAAAAAAAAAGTATACACCTTATTTATGCATGATATCTTTCATCTCCGGTTAAATGTATGAAATCATTTATTTAAAAGTGAAGTAAGTTATGCATGTTAAAAATTTATTCTTTTTACCTGACTTTCTATACTTGTTCATATTTTGCTGTTTTAACTGCATGTAAATATATACGAAACGTTTTATAAGGTTATAGCCTATGCAAATTAAATCTTGCCTAATACAACTTCCACATAAAGATACTATAATAATAACACCATAATATAAACAATGGTGTACATATTTTGAAATTCAATGTTCAAAATAAACAAATAAAGACATTTTTACAATACGATTTTTCCATAGAAACAAAAGTAGCATTTTGCGAACGCTCCTTCGGGGTAGATAATAAAAACAATTATGAAAGAATGACTTATATCTGTATCCAACAACTTTATTAACAATTCAATTTAATTTTACTAATCAATTTTTAATTTTGCCTTTATGCATTTAGGACTTTTCAAATTCGAATAAATGATTCATTCGATTTTCACATGATGTTTGCTTGATTTTGATTTATGTCACACCGACACAGAATTGGTCATACTGCAACGTTCGGAGAAGACCTCAGGTGCCCTTCTGTGCATTATTTCTGGCACGTAGAACCACCGACATTCTGTATACAATCATATTAAGAAATTAACAATATCTTGCATTAAAGTGCGCTTAAACGAGTCATGAGTTAATTTCATAAATAGCGCATACCGGTATTTTGACGCCATATTTAAATAACGTTTTTCTCTATGACATCTTTTTCTGTACTTTCTTGGTCAGTACAGCAAAGCTCTATATATAAAAAATGCTCACACATGATATAAAGTAAAAATTTTGTTTGCACTAATTGATAATATGGAGCAAAATTTCAATCCCCGGAGTATGGAAGCGTCCTAGTGCCAAACCTGAAATGTTTTTATGTCATAATTAGTAGATAGTAATTGCTAATTAGTAGAAAGTAAGTGCTAATTAGTAGAAAGTTAGTGCTAATTAGTAGATAGTAAGTGCTAATTAGTAGATGCTAAGTCATAATTAGTAGACAGTAAATACTAATTAGGAGATAGTAAGTGCTAATTAGTATATACTAAGTCATAATTAGTATATAGTAAGTACTAATTAGTAGATACTAAGTCATAATTAGTAGATAGTAAGTGCTAATTATTAGATAGTAAGTGCTAATTAGTAGATACTAAGTCATAATTAGTAGATAGTAAGTACTAATTAATAGATACTATGTCATAATTAGTATATAGTAAGTACTAATTAGTAGATAATAAGTCATAATTAGTAGATAGTTAGTACTAATTAGTAGATAATAAGTCATAATTAGTAGATAGTAAGTACTAATTAATAGATACTATGTCATAATTAGTATATAGTAAGTACTAATTAGTAGATAATAAGTCATAATTAGTAGATAGTAAGTACTAATTAGAACATAATAAGTCATAATTAGTAGATAGTAAGTACTAATTAGTACATACTAAGTTATAATATTGTAATCGCTGCTTGCATTCTGTTAACGCAGCGATTACAATATTATAACTTAGGGTGTACTAATTAGTACTTACTATCTACTAATTATGACTTATTATGTTCTAATTAGTACTTACTATCTACTAATTATGACTTATTATCTACTAATTAGTACTTACTATATACTAATTATGACATAGTATCTATTAATTAGTACTTACTATCTACTAATTATGACTTATTATGTTCTAATTAGTACTTACTATCTACTAATTATGACTTATTATCTACTAATTAGTACTTACTATCTACTAATTATGACTTATTATCTACTAATTAGTACTTACTATATACTAATTATGACATAGTATCTATTAATTAGTACTTACTATCTACTAATTATGACTTAGTATCTACTAATTAGCACTTACTATCTAATAATTAGCACTTACTATCTACTAATTATGAATTAGTATCTACTAATTAGTACTTACTATATACTAATTATGACTTAGTATATACTAATTAGCACTTACTATCTCCTAATTAGTATTTACTGTCTACTAATTATGACTTAGCATCTACTAATTAGCACTTACTATCTACTAATTAGCACTTACTTTCTACTAATTAGCACTTACTTTCTACTAATTAGCACTTACTATCTACTAATTATGACATAAAAACATTTCAGGTTTGGCACTAGGACGCTTCCATACCGGAGAGCCAAAAAGTAAATACTTAAAATCGCACACTTGACTATATTGATGTTTATTTTTAATAAATAATGAAAGTAAGTGTAGCAGTTTTCATGTTCGCTGCAAAATATGATGACATAAAGTCTCCCTAAAGACGACAAAACAGTGTCGACTCCGAATAAATTAGTCTCTTATATAATTTCTTACAGGAGCGTCACAAATGTTGATGGAAAGAGCTCAAATATCTATATTATATACCATTGCTGCGTTGACGATTTCTGGGTTTGAGTAAATTATACCGTAATCACGTGACCTTTCTTATGCCTTAACCTCACGAGACGAATGCCTTAACCTCACGAGACGAAGTCGAGTGAGGTTGCATAAGAAAGGTCACGTGATTATGGTATAATTTACGCAAACCCAGAAATCGTCAACGCACCAATGGTGTATCTGTTTTAACCTATAGCTCCGCCCACAAACACTTACTCCTTCGATCTTCAAAACTGAAAATTATACCATAGTCTGGGTATGGTATAATTTACGGTTATTGGAAATTATACTTGGAAGAATTTTACATAAGAAGCGCTGAAGAGCTATAGGTTAACTATTACTGATCCCGTGATATTTTCCATCTTCATACCCGTTCCAGAAACTCAAATCGGTTCAAGAGAAGACTTAAAAATGTTATTTACATTTTTTTGCATCTGCTATGTTATACATGTATAAATATATATTTTAACGAATCAGAAGCCCATTAAGCCTAAGAAAAGCATTAAAAATCATTTTTATTTTTCAAAACCTGTTAGTTTTAATATCTTTTTCGGGTTCAAAAACCAACAAAAATAAAACAGAAAAAAAAAACAACAAAAAAAAAAAACAACCTCAAACCTCATTAGCTATAAATATCAACTTGTTTCTTTTGCTCAATGCTGATTAATATTAGTAAAGGGAGTTAGTATTTTGTAAGGATGTCAAAATTCTACTTAAATAGCATTTTCCATACTTTTTACAACACATTATTGCGCATTCAACACTACTTTTTGTCGTTTTTGAACATCTACGAGTAAGACGCTCTAAATTCATTATTAAAACAATACTGACAATATATTTGACCTTCCTAAAGAATAAGAAAAAATATTCATATCTGAGGTATAATTACCTTCAAAGAAAATGAGAAGTAATGCAAATACATACCTGTATTGAATTATGAACATAGACAAAACACCTACAGATGCAACTGCAAAAATGCTGCCCCACATATTAAAATTTTATCCACAATCGAAAATCCTTTGAATATTATCTCAGCGCGATAGTTTCACTATGATGAGGGCCTAGATCACTTAATGCCTAATCGCATTGTAAATATGCCTTGCTTCTTGTAAAGATTTTTAATGGAGTTTATTACTTGTATAACTATACCCCGATATTTCGCAAAAGCGAGAGCGTTCCACATTGATAACTTGCATACTGCTGTAACGAGTAATAATAACAAATTTATGACATTGTGCAGTTTTCGTTTTATCAACTAGATGTGAATGAACTTACGTAAACAACGTTCTTTGCTTTGTTTGTTTGTTTTTGGGTTTTACGTCACATCGACACAGTATAGGTCATATCGCGACGTTCCAGCTGTACTGGTGGAGGAAGACCTCAGATGTCCTTCCGTGCTTTGATTCAGGCACGAACAGGCACCTGAGTAGAACCACAGACGTTCCGTAAGCTAGCTGGATAGCTTCCTCACATGAAAGAATCCAAAGTCCATGTCGGGATTCGAACCCACAGCGGTGAGGGGCAAGTGGTTTGAAGTCAACGTCCTTAACCACTCGGCCACTGACGCCCCCACGTTCTTTGCGACAACACTATTAACAAAATAGTTATATCAAAATACTAACAAGTAATTGAAAAAGGGTAGATTTATCAACAAAACCAAATTTTAAAACGTTTAACTCAATTAATCCGATTACATAAGTTTGATAGTACGTGCAAATATAGATTTAGCTTTGTCCGTCTGTCTGTCTGCATGTGACAAGACCATAGCAATTATCTTTGGATAAAGAAGAAAAGCATTTCAGGAGCATAACAGGCATTTGATCAAATTTGTTAAATAAATGCTTTAATTATTGCTACTGTCAAAAATGGTGTATGCAGAATGTAAAAATGTATGTAAAATTCACACTTTCGTTATCAACATGATTTAAATTCAATATTCAATTGTGAAGAGATTTTTAATCTCTTCTCTAGTGATAGGTCTAGTCAAATATGTAAAGTCATTAAAATTGGATTTATATCACACCTCATTATTCTTTTAAATCTTATGTTGCATATATACTTAGTAACTATTGACAAATACGATGAAAATTCGATTTATTATAAGCATGAATATCATGTAATAGGTGAGTATATGTTTCCGTTTTCTATGTAAAATGTGCTACTATAATGTATGTATGTGATCATGTCAAATTAATATTGATACACGTTTGCCATATTATATATATTGCATTTTGTACCACATGGGTCTATGACCTTCTGGGAAAAGATAAATAAACTTGTTAACTTAATGTTGTATGGTGGCTACAAGATCAATAAATAATAGTATTTCCTCTTTTGTGCCATTCATTCCGTAAGCTTTTAAGCGGCGATTTTTCTTTTATGTGGCTGAAATCAATTGAGCAGCTACATAAGACTGTCTCGTTAGAACATCAGTCTTTCCGTCAACCCTTCAAACTTTGATTGGAACTTAAAACGTAAGCTTTTTCTAGATAAAACCCATTAACATAAAACCTTATACATTAGGCGGTTAAACCCCTGTCACACTAGGGCGGCGTTCTCACGGCGTTCAAATAAAATTCAGAACGCCGAGGTGAGCGCAGTAAGATCGCAAATATCGCCGCAGCATCGCGACAGAATCGCAGTGGCATCGCATAGAACGCCGACCGACGGCGCGCGTTTTGAGCATGCTCAAAACAAACGCCGCCACTCGGCGTTCTGATAAAAGCGTTGTGGGGTCGCAGTAAGGACGCCGTAGCAACTCAGAAGCATCTCCTTCAACGCAACAGGAGCGCCGTTAAATCGCAGAAGGATCGCTGAATGAATGCCGTAATTATCCACGGCGCTTGTTCGGAAACTGTGTTGCGTTTCTTCCGCACTTATACTGTGTGTGCACGGCGCTTGTACGGAGCTTTATGTTTTCTCAAACGCTCCTACTGCGACTTTACGGCATTATCACCGCGACCAACTCAAGGCGATTCTACTGCGTTCATTTAAAATTGCAGAATATGGTACAGTAGAGTCCCTACATAAGACCATCCAGGAGTAGAGACTAACCCTCTATTTAGACAAATTTTTAAAAGAACGTAATTGTTAATTGTAACATGATCGACAATTAAGACCATCCAACTTATCCACTTTTAAGACCACCAGGTTCAGTCCCAATGCATATATCTAACCCCTCTATTGAGACCACAGATATTGAATGGAAAGCAAATTGGGACAATGCCGTCTTTAATAAACTTCATGATATAAACCCATCTCTTGATGTGTAACCATCTCTGTCTTTGTCAAACCGCCATGATCAAACAGTTCTTCTTCGATGCCGAATTGGACACACTAAAGTTACCCATTCTTATCTCCTCACGAATGACAATGCCCCTTTCTGTGTAGGTTGTAATAAAAATTTTACTGTCAAGCATTTTCTTCTGGAATGTCATGATTTTTCACAGGCCCGTTGTAAACTCACTCAAAGAACTCTTTAATACAATTCCATCAAAAAACATCATCGATTATTTGAAAGAGATAAACTTGTATTCAAGGATCTGATTGGCTCTTTTTTATTATTATTTACAATGTTTTACGTAATATTTTAAGCCTATTATAGCATTCGGCACGATATGGCCATTTATGTGTTGACGTGCCGTAAAATCCAAACAAACAGATATTCTAGACAATGCCTATTCAGATAACAAGCTATTGTTATTCATCTGCTTGAATCCTCTTAAGCATGACACTTGAAACAATGTGTTAAAATAGAGAAAATAAGAATCCCTAAAGAAAGCAAGAATCACGGCATCATTGAAAATGTTGCAGGCTCGGTTTGATTTAGCCTGTTCATGGATGGTTCTGTCAAGTGCAAACTACCGTTCACGCCCCCTAGCACCGGCTTAAGCATAATTCAACATTTAACATGATGGTACAATGAACGGAAGCAAACTAGAATACTTCTTGCTTGCATGCAGGTGCAGCAGGTACAGAATGAAAAATCGCTGGTATATGAAGCACGATTTCAGCGCAGTGTAAGCGCAGCGAGAGCGCCGTGTGAGCGCTGTAAAAGAGCAGTGGAAACGCAAAGAACGCAGTAGAAACGCAGTCCGAACGCAGAAAATCGCCAATTAAAACCCCGTAAGAACGCATTGCAACGCCCTGGAAGCTCCCTAGCAACGTCATGATCGCTATGCAGACGCCGTGAAGACGCCGCGCAGTCTTCATCTCATAAAAAATATCAGATTTTTATTGCGATCGCGCGGCGCTTTGTTAAATTTAACAACGCCGTGCTAACGCAGTAAAAGCGCGGTCTAGTGTGACAGGGCCTTAACACATCACTAATTTAAAATGCAGTGCATTGCAGCGATAGTGTAACTTATTACATTTTACTGCGCTTTTTTCAGTTGATTTTGTGTGAACCTTATCTAGGTATCACAGGTAAACTTATCTATGCAACGTAAAAGAACTGTAACTCTTTATATAGTTGAACAATTTAATATAATTTGGATTTTTTAAGAGTTCATTTCTGTTTTTGTATTGCATAATTTGTTCAGTATGTTATTCAACATTAAAGTCCATTTGATTAAACTGAGATATTTACATATGTGGCGTTGTTTATCTGGCTGTAAGGATAATTCGTATAGATCTATTGCCCTTTGTAATGGAACTCACTAGGAATGTATACTGTATTCTAACACGACCCGCATTTTTCCCTATTGAACATAGAAGAACCGAAAGTGTGTGTTATTTAAGAAATAATATATCCCAAACTGTGATTTTATAGCTCAATAACATCACTGTTTGGAGTTCGGATGCGAGGAATTACATCAAAAGGGCGTAGCCCGAGTAATATAATGTTGCGCATCCGAACGACAAACAGTGATGTTATCCAGCGATAAAATCACCGATTTGGATATATTATTTCGATTTTAACACGACATAAACAAATAAATGCTGCCGTAGCTACTATTTAGCAAAATTGCGCCTGATTTGTTTCCGCATTTATTGTCAGCGCGTCGGATTTCATAGTGGTTACGTCACATGTACGATGATTACGTCAGACGTCTAAATATAGAACGTCAAACAGTGACTCTATGTATATGTTAGTGTTCATCCGTGCTGTTCTACAGAAATTAGAAACTTCGACGGGAGCGATAGCGACAGGAGAATGTTTCTAATTTCTGTAGAACAGCTAAGGATGCACACTAACATATATAGTTTCAAGCTTTGTTTGGCCCTTGATTGCGTCACTACGCGCTACTATGAAGCACTATGAAAAATAGAAGGCGACTATGAACGGATTTCAATTTAGTGTCCAGCTTTATTTGTCATCCAATGAAAACGCTGTATTTCTTAAAAATTATTTGCGTTAATTTTTATAGAACTACAAAAGTCGATACAATATCGAATTCCGTTCGTAGTCGCCTTCTATTTTTCATACTACTTCATAGAACTGCGTAGTGACGTAATAAAGTGGATAATCATGAGGCTTAATATGTTAGTATTCATCCGTGCTGTTCTACAGAAATTATAAACATTCTCCTGTCGCTATCGCTCCCGTCGAAGTTTCTTATTTCTGTAGAACAGCACGGATGAACACTAACATATACATAGTATCGATTTTCTTGCTAAGAACTATGAAAATTAACACACATAATTTTTTAAGAAATACAGCATTATTATTATTATTATTGATTATTCTTCATCTTCTTGGTACCAAGGACTGAGTAAATAACCGAAGCACAAACTTCAAGTAGCTCAAAATAAGGTTGTGCGCTTTATAAAAGACTACACTCCTAGGACTTCAGTGACAAATAAGGTTCTGTCCGATCTTAAATTATTAAATGTCAATGATAGAGTTAGACAGTTAAGACTCAACCACATTCATAAAGTTTTTTTACAACAAAAGCCCTTCTTATTTAAAGGAATTGTTTAAGGTTTGTAGAATATCTAATTTAAGATCCAGTAATTTTAATTTTGTTTTACCTCAAAATGATTCTTATGTTAAAAATACATTTTTCTACAATGCCATT